TTTATTTTTATGCGTTTTCCTGTGGAACGTATCTACCGCATAAAAAGAGAAGCAAGTGTATTTCAAATAGAGTAAGTTAATCAATGATTCGTGTTATATATGTGTATATTACATGAATACCTGTTATTTTATTCAAAAGTCAGCATGTAAGCCTACAATAAAAGCAAAAATAAAATATTTCAATATAAAAAAATTATAAATTTCGTTATTTGATTATTGCATATAAAAGTAGTAAAGTAAGTTAAAATTTAATTTAAAATAGTGAATAAGTAAATATATATATAAATTGTGAGAATAGAAGAAGTTTGAAAGTAATATATAATTAAAATGAGTATAAATATTCAATGACGAATGGTTATAAACAAACGTTTCAAAATAAATCTAAATAAAAAACAAACATGTGCAGTACATGTGTATCGAGAAATAAATTGTCACATAATTAAATAATATTCATTTGCTATGCGTCTGCAGTTGATTTGTTAATTTTGCGTTAATTATTATATATAACATAATGAGATACGCAAAAATTCCGCGTGAATTGTTACATTTCAAGAGCTTCCGACGTATCCATTTTAATTATGCACTGCTAATTAATAACATCAAACAGCAAAACCGAAACAAAGCACAGTCTGCAAACAAACTTAATAATCCTATAAAATTAATTAATTACTACATTATAATTTAAAAAAATAATAACATCTTTATCTTAAATTATTTACAAAACAACTATTGATGTATAAATAAATAATATTAAAGATTTACTGAAAAAAAAAATAGAATTATGTTTATAAAAATTTATAAAAATTAGCAAGAAATGAATCATTTTTATGTCCAAATTAAAAAAAAAATGTTTAAAATTAATGTGTTACGAAATTAAATAAAATGTATTAGTGATGATTTCGAAATTGATTTTATGAAATATTTAATCTGAAATAAAATCCAATAATGCAATGCATTAGGGAATTGAAGTATAAGCATTTTAATAATGCACTGCTCACGAATTACCTAATAATTTTTTAAGATCGGATGAGTTCAAATGATTTTTGTTGAAAATATTATATTATATATAATCCCGACAACCTTAATCCAGACAGTATCAAAATCCCGACAACTATAATTCCGACAGTATCAAAATCTCGACAACCATAATCCTGACACTATATGAAATCTGTATCAAATAATAAAAGATACTATCGGTATTTTATACTGTCGGGATTTAAATATAGACCTGTTTGTAATAATGATGATTTTATTAAAAAATCTCAAAATTATTTATTTTGTATTATAAATTAATACCATATACAATTTAAAAAGAAAAATGAAATAAAACAAAGAAATGATTTTAATAGGTCTCACATAAAGTATGGATCATAACTAGTCAATTTCCTGAAAAACATGGATTTATGACTGTATTTTTGTTCTGAACTTAAAAAAAACGAATCCGTTTCGCACGATGAACGTAAAACGTATTAACTGGAGACCATCAAATCGACTTCCGGTCCGAAAACGGGGCAATAATTGCGTCCCGTTATAGAATCTCATTGGGCTGGATTATTTGCATTTTCTCGTAACCACTTCGACGTCCGCCCCCGCTTTTACTGCTGTGCCCCCTGCCTTCCCGGCTTTATCGCATTTTAGCGAACGGTTTGCCCGGTTCGGTTCATTAATTACAATAATTATAAACATGCCTATTGATTACGTAATTCATCGCGTACGCTGCGCGTTAATTATAACAATTATACAAACATCTATTGATTACGTGATTAATGTTACGCGCGGAGGGGATTGTATTTTCGAGGGAGAAAGAACAGATGAAGTAATTTTTGTTTTTTTTTGTAAGCGGTGCTGTGTTTTAATTAGAGGCATGACATTAATACCAGATTAGATGTCCACGTGGACAAACACGCATTTACGATGTACAAAATAGCTATAATACACGTTTTATGCGTCAATTACTGTTATTAGCTTTTATATTTTGAACGATCATGTTTTAACGACGATAAATTAAAGGTATTGGAATCGTGTGATTTACGATCCAATTTCATTGAAATATATTTTTTTATTGTAATACAAGTGTACCAATTACAAC